GTTTTAGGTTTAATTTAAATGTTATTTGGGTTAATTAGGACTTGAAAAAAAAATGTTATCTTTTCAAATTATATCTTTTTTTTATTGTAATCTTAACTTTAGTTTTTAAATATTATGTCTTTTTTTGCTTTTTAAATATTATATTTTATAAAAATGTATTTCTTTTATTAATTAAAAAAAAGAAACGAAAAAGGTAAAACAAAAAAACAAACTCGAAAAAAAAATACACAAAAAAATGACATGGAAAAAAGTTTGAAAACAATTTTCTCACTTTGTGTTATAACACCATTATAGATGTGACATGTGTAAGGTGACACCAATTTAGTGTTACATCTAGTTGCCCACACCCAAATTCTAAAAAAGTGAGAGTGCAGAAAAAGGAAAAAAAAACAATTAAAAGGAAATCCAGTCTAAAACTTACCTGGTGTCGAGATTTTTGTGATCGCAGTTGAAGATGATCGCCTATGGTGTCGATTTTAGGATAACAATAAATGTTTCAGAGGAGCCACCGACGGCAATTGTGAACATTCTGGCGAAGAATGGCAATGTCTGATGGTGAAGAAAGAGAAGGAAGAAGTGGCAATGGCGAGATTATATAAGGGACGATGATGAGCTAAGATTATTATTATACCATTATCTTATTTATTACTATTTGTTTAATTTTTTCTAAATTTTAATTGATCCTTGCAACACACAATAATTGCTGATCCAGAATAATTACTCATCCACATTCTATAGATATAACATCCAATAAAAAATGGTTGGATTACTCAATTTTCCAATATTTATTCTTTCGATTTTTTTCGACAAGACAGTGTAAAAGAAGGTGGATGAATGGTATTGGAAAAATCAAAAGGTAAAGTTGTACTTTCATTTTCATCTCTCCACTCCTCCAACTCTGCCTAAAACGCTATCTTCCCTCGGTGTCCCTTTCTCTCATTATCATCAAAGCTTTGATTTTTCTTCCTCTTCAGAACTCTCTGATAGTCTTCCTTCTCCCAGAAGCGAAAAGTCTAAATTTTGATCTTTAATTCCAAGGAAGTTCTTAGGGTTCTTGATCACAATATTTGGAATTTTTTTCTATTCCCATGGAGGTAAATTTACAATTAATCCAACACAAAAATCGGTTGGATCCATGTGCTATCCGTGGTTTATAAATTAATCTCTTAATTTACTTTCATTTATCGACCATGTCATGATTTGGTACTGATAAAATCTTTAAACTTAGCTCTTTCTCTTCAAGGGTTTTCTTGTTTTGATAGTTTTTTCATATGGGTATGTTTTATCTTTAGCATATGAATTATATATGATTGTTATTACCGATTATAATGGTCAACTGATGATTAATTAGCTTAGAATTGAAGTTGTTGAAACTTAAAGGGTTTTAAAGATGTGATACACTCGTATACAATTAAAACTTACTTTGGGGAAACTATCGATATTGGATGCATGTCTTTTAATTTTAAATTAATGGTTTTTTTGTGGTTAATTAGGTTCCAGAAATGGAAGAAGGCGAAAACGCGACTCATCTAACTTCTCCTGCAGCTTTCGTAGAAGGAGGAATACAAGAAGCCTGTGAAGATTCTTGTAGCATTTGCCTCGAAGCCTTTTGTGATAATGATCCGGGAACAGTAATAATATATATATTCTTTCTATTAATATATATCATCGTGTTTTCCTTTCTCTAATTATAATTTATAACTTACAAATACACAATTCATGGTAATTTATGTGTTTCCTATATCGTAGGTGACAAGTTGCAAACATGAATTCCACCTTCAATGCATTCTTGAATGGTATGACTACGTTTTCTTGAATTTTATATGGAATTTCAAGAATTATAATGTATGCACATAACTCATGAGCTAAATAAACCTTTTGATACATTTTCTTTAATAGGTGTCAAAGAAGCTCTAATTGTCCAATGTGTTGGCAAGCCATTAGCCTAAAGGATCCATTAAGGTGACCTAATCTTCATTCAAATCAAGATTTCATATTTTGTGTTCTTATTTTTCATGCAATATGTGTAGTCAAGAATTATTGGAGGCAATAGAACAAGAAAGGCGAATCAGATTCAACCCCACAAGAAATTCAAATTCCACAATATTTCATCACCCAACACTCGGTGACTTTGAACTACAACATGTATGTCATCTTTCTTGATTGTTTTTTGCAATAAAAATTAAAACTTTTTTTGACACTTTTATTTCCATTTCTTCAGTTGCCAGTTGGTGTGAATGATAGTGAACTTGAGGATCGAATCATTCAACATCTGGCGGCTGCAGCCGCCATGGGGCGGGCCCGCCATGTGGGCCGGAGGGACGGGTCAAGAAACCGGTCAACGGATCCGGGTCAGGGTCAGGGTCAGGGTCGACCCCAGTTCTTGGTTTTTTCCACTAGTCCCAATGCGGGCCCCACCTGCCACCCTGGCAGGCTCTGGTGGCCCAGTTGAAGAGTCTGAAGAACTTGGGCCTGCTGTTATTGGGCCTGTTAGTGGATCGGGCCTGTTTACGGGTCGTGGAGGTGGAACTTCTGGAATGGGTAATGATTCAATTAGTCAAAGTCAACAAGGAACATCGGTTATTCATAGGTATTTATACATTTTATTTTACAATAAAGTAATTTAATCAATGCTATAAGATCTTAGATTGCTATTTTTGGTATCATCTTCTTATTTTAATGTTTTCTATTTATAGAAACTCAAGCAATCTATCTTCTCCACCTAATCAAGATACAGCAGGGCCTTCAGAGTTGCAAACAGCTTCAGAGACATGGAAATCTAAATTCAATGCCATTTCAACAAGGTACAAATTGTTATAAATTATGACATATATATTATTAACCCAATTCTATCTCTGAAATAAGTTTAATTTATGAAAAAGATATAAAGAATCACTATCAAAAAGTACAAGAGGGTGGAAGGAGAGACTTTTCAACAAGAGTCCTCCATCAATGTCAAATATGGGTTCAGAAGTAAGAAGAGAAGTCAATGAAGGAATTGCCAACATCATTGAACGCCTTGAAGTCCATGACAATAACAGAGAAGACCATAATGGTGTTGTTGAAAGAATCAACTAGTGTGAGTTATGTTTGACTTTTTGTCACATGGTCAAACCGATATATTCTTATGTTGATCTCTCTATATCTTGATTCTTGCAGGTTGTCAAGAACACTGGATCCAGATAAAGAGCTAAATCACACACCGCTAAAACTTTACTATCTGCTTGTAAATTTGTTGGTACTTTAATCTTTAGATTATCAAAGATTTACTGATTTGACATGTTTGAGATGTTTTGATGTATTTAACTTTTTCTTATGAACTATATTTAACCAGTAGTAGTTTTGTCAGGCTGGACTTGTGTGCTATAACAGTACAGCCTGACAAAACTTCTGTTTGTGATCTTTGTGTGTGCTCATACAAGATTGGTTTTATAATTTCTGATATTATAAATCTATATTAGACTGTTGTAAACCAGAAATAAAGTAGGATTTAGAAAACATCTATCCACGAATCAAGAACACAATCACGAGTTTTCAAATTACTTTTGATGTACTCACAAGGTGTGGTTATGCGCATTGTTTTACACATAAAAAAGTAATTGTGTATATAATAAGCATATATTTTCGATTTTGTTCGTTAAAATTGAGTGGGCCTCACAAAACATTTATCTATGAATCAAGAAACGTTAATGGGTATTTCAAGTTGCTTGCTAGTGTGGTTTTTATGCAATATCTAACACGGTATAGTTTTAAGACTATGTGGGCAATATGTTATCATATAAAAAGATGCGACATCCTCATCATCATATTCATACATTGGTGTTATGATACTAAATATGAAAATTGGTAACATCAAATAACATGTGATAACATCCTTTATTTTTTATTTATTTTTTAATTTATTTTTGAGTTTTTAAATTTCTATTTTTACAATTTGTTTTTTTTTTGTTTTTTATTTATGTCATAATATTTATAAAAAACATATAAATTAATAACACATCTAATTTAATTAAATCATAAATTAAAAATATCATTTTAAAACTAAAAATAAAATATTTAATAAATCCTAAATTAAAAAAATTACAAAAAAGGACAAAAACATTTAAAAACTTAAAAAACAATAAAAGATGAGAAAAATTACACTTTTTCCCATAAATTATTCATCTTCATTACCATCATATATATGATCTGTCAAGTCTTCTTGAAGTTGTCTGTGTTTTTGTTGGTCTTGAATATCAACGACTCTATGTAAGTATTCGGATGTCCCTGGTTGAATTGTACGTGTCAAGGTTTCGTAGCCGAATACTTCGCAATATTTCGTCATTTATCCTCAACCACCATGTTATGCATTATGATACATGCATACATAATATCTCGTACAGTGTCCAAGTGATATGGTTGTGTCGTATGCTCAACTATGTGTCATTTTGATTTCAGAACTTTGAAAGCACGTTCCACGTCCTTACGTGCTCCTTCTTGTATTCTCTTGAAAAATTTGTCTCTTGGTTCTATCGGGTGTCGAAACTCCTTTACAAACGTGGAATATGGGGGATATATTTCATTCGTGAGGTAATACCCAAACTTATACTCATGGCCATTACCGTGAAAGGAGCATCCGGTGCCTTTCCTGACAAAAGATCCTCAAAAATTGGTGATTGATCAAGAACGTTTATGCCGTTGTTGGAACCCGCAACCCCGAAAAAAGCATGTCAAATCCATAAGTCTTGTGAAGCAACAACCTCTAATACCAACGAAGACGCTCCAAGATGACCACTTGTATATTGGCCTTTCCACGCCACAGGACAATTTCTCTATATCACTTTGTTTAATCAATGCTTCCAAGCATACCCGGAAAACCATGTTGTTGTTCATGCGCCGCATATAGTTGTTGCATATCATTCAATGAAGGTTTGCGCAAGTATTTGTCACTGAAGGTTTCGACAACACCTCTCACCAATCTATACAAACTTTCTCGTGAAGTTTGCTCCAACATTCTCATATAGTCATCAATAGAATCGGGCGACTTCCCCATAGCCATAAGCTTGACTGCAACAGCTCATTTCTGCAACCGTGTGAAACCTCGCTTACCACTCGCATCATACCTCATTTGGAAAAATTTATACCTAAACATATATTTAATTGATAAAAAAAGTGTATTTATTTTATCTAAAAACGATTATCTAAAAACTGCATTTATGATACCTGCTTTCCAATGCATTGACTATCCGTTCAAACACATTTTTTCACAAACGAAACATTTTTTTGAAATCGCTAGGTCTGTAAACACAATTATCCGCAAAATAATCGTTTGCTATATGTCTATGCCCTTCTTCATGATCTTTGTTTAACGTCGCACGTCTTGTGAGTAGTGGAGTTGGCTCTGGCTGTAGTAGCACGTACATAGAATATTGGTACATCATACTCACAAAGATATCGTCGTCGTTGTTATCATCGTTGAATGGATGGAACGGATCAAAATAATCCATTTTTTGTTTTGAATTATTGAAATTATGTGTGAAATAGAAAGAAAGAAAAGAAAGGGAAATTGAGAGAAATGTGAAATTGAGAAAAATAGATGTATTGGATAGGCAAAAATGAGTAAAATATGTGTATTTATAGTAGAGTTAAAATGGGATTTTTTTTAATGTTTGTGACCGTTTAAAAACGGTCTAAAATAGGACCATTTGATCGAAATTGCAATCCAGTAACCCCCATTGCCACAGTAACGTCGGTTGCCATAACGCTGGAAAACGTCACTGCGGGGCAGCATGTTATCCGTTATAACAACATTTTTTTTACGGCCGCATCGGATTAACGGGGTAGGGCGTTGCCCATACCCGATAGTATAAATGAGTACATGTTAGTCAAATGTTTGGGTTGTGGTTGGATATCCAAAAATCAATTGGAGACTTGTACCTTATCCATGTTATGCCTCTTGTCACAAATCTGCAATGACCATGACAAAAAAGAGTTATGGTTTATGTTGGGGGGATAGAGTTGGACCAAAGTCGGCCCGACCAACATGCACCTCATAAAAATTGGCATGTTAAGGCCTGTAAGATTTGTCTGGGTTGCCCCGGCCTGGTTTTTCGTTTGTTTTACTATTATATAGTAAGCATTTAGCTGTGGCTTAAGATTTAGGAGTATTTTCACATTTATTCATACATATGTTACGATAAAACGGAGACAATGTAACACCGTAAATTTTCAAACAAATTTTTCATTTTAAAATCACATAATTCTCATAACACATTTCACAAAAATCCTTTTTATTTAATTTACAAAACGCAACTCCATAATTGTTTGATTAATAATCCAGGATCCTCAAAACATAACTCTTTCTCTGGTGTGTACAGTCAAGCCGGCGCCTTCCCGCGATCCTGAGAAGAACCTGAAACACATATCACATAACATGGTAAGCACGAAGCTTAATGAGTTCCCCAAAATACTACACATATCTCATTAGCCTCTCATGACTATAGCTCAATAAGACCCTCCGGTCAATGTGTCTCAGTGGGACCCTCCAGTCCCACAACTCGGGTGGACCCTCCAGTCTGGTATCTCAGTGAAGACCCTCCGGTCTCACAACTCGGTTTGGACCCTCCGGTCTTATCTTAGTGGGAACCCTCCGGTCCCACAACTCGGGTTGGACCCTCCGGTCCTATCTCAGTCAAACACAGAATATAGCATATATATCACACAGACAAAATGCATAATATCACATAATTCAAATAAGCACATAAGAACCTCCGGTCACACAAAGGTTACCACTCTTGGTAAGTATAGTGAGAAGACTCACCTCGTAAGAAATTGGATAACCTCAAACTCGAATCATCGGTCTAGCCTCCACCTAACACATACGATAATTATCCCTAATTAATAGCGGCTCTCAAAAAGCTAGACTAACCCTTCTACAAACTCCCAGAAGGGTAAAAGACCATTTTACCCTTCCTTGGCCTTAATAGTCCACACATTGACCAAACCCTAAAAGTCAACCAAAAGTCAACATCAGAGCGTACGCTACGCGTACCAGCTCTCTACGCTGGATGTACTTTGTTGTCCTGCAGGCATCGAGGATGCTCGACCCTTACACGGCGCGTACTGGGATTACGCTCAGCGTACTTCCTAGTTTCACTCTTCCTACTCATTCGGTCTTAATCAGTTAAGACCTTGGCTCATATCACAGATCTGGACTCCCTAATAGCTCTTACTCCATAAAGTCAGTGACTTTATGCCTTTGCAAGGCTGATAAGGTCACAAACACACAAAACTCTCACTCTCTTATCTCAGAATGCTCATATCTCATGCATGGCTTGATTCCAACGTCCAAGTCTTGATTTTTATGACACTACACCGCCAAATACACTCAAAGGGGTTGATCATAGTCTCTGGAGCTCAATTATCTCATAAAGTCTCCAACTTTTGGGACAAAACCCTAAAATACTCTACTATGATGCACAAATCAAAAGAGTGAGAAAGCTTGGAGCTTTATACCTCTAGATGAAGCTCCCAACTCATATATGCTCATATCCAATGCCTGGATTCTCACTCCTTCTTCTCCCAAATCTCCTTCTTCACTCCAAGAACACACAAAATCACTTAAAGGCTCTCAAATGGACACACACAAGCTTAAGAATGAGGATTAGGGTTTTAGAGGGTTTATTGTTTGAGGATGGTGGCCAGGAATGAGGCCATCTTATTCTTTATATAGGGACACCCCTCATTTAGGGTTTCATTCTGTGCCTAGTACGCCCAGCGTACTAGGTGGCTCCGCTTAAAAGTCACGCACATGAGTACGCTAAGTGTACACACACGTACGCCCAGCGTACTCAGCTGCCACCTTTCTCAAATGAAGGATCTATCTTGTCAAGACTTCAAACTTCCATAGTTTCCTCGATATAACTCCGTTTCCAATGAACCACATATCTATGGAAAGGTGACGAGAATCCCTACGATTCTAGCAACTCGTCGCAGCCCCGAGACTTCCTCATGCCCGGGTTGCAGCCCACGAACCCTAAATCACGGACGATCTGAAACAGGATGTTACAATTCTCCCCCACTTGAATTAGATTTCGCCATCGAAATCGCTCCTTATCAACACATAGATCGAATCCAATACCCCGAGAAGCACCATCGAAGGACCTCATCTCATACAACAATATCCTCCGAAGACACCTGAATCCAACAGGAACTCTCAATCCCGAAAAAGGACAGACTCATCTGCCGCTGCGGTACTCGTTCTGTCTCTCTAGAACTTGAAAACTCTAGTGGTCTATCTCCCTGCCAGACCGTCTCACGAGATATCATCATGTTAATCGCTCATTGAATAACAGACTCTAAGAACACTCTACCAATTCCGATTCTCTAATCGATCCTGGTCGTAACTCAAAAGGAACGGAAGGT